ATATATTTGTAGCTTTTTTCTCCTCCCTAATGACAGCCAAGGAAAATGTCCCCGAAATCGTATCCCCTGTGCGAAAAATTTATGGCGTTTTGTGCAAGTTTGCAAACCCATCTGATCTAAGCATTTAATGATGACGAGTGTTTAGCCAGTCTGTTATACTAAAATACTCCATAGGAAAAGATGGTTATCCGATTGATAGCTGTACCCGGTACGAGAGGTCACACTTGCCGAACCAAGTGGCATCGTGTGAATTATGGATAAATAGCAAGGTGCTTTAGAGTTTGGCGTTAATTTGTCACTAGCCTTAGCTTGGTAACAATACAGTATGCTGCGGAGTGCCAAAGATGTGTTTATTATTCAGCGGCCCTTTTCAGCTTCTGACAACCAGCGCACTCTGACCACGCGGTCCTTCTCATCGGCTAAGAGATTATGCCTCATGGTCTCCAGAACCTTGACATTCCACAACCATTTTTAGCATATTTATTGGCAGATGGGAACAGGCTTTGATGTTCAGTTCATTGAAAAATTAAGGCATATACTGGTTTTCCGCCTATTACTTTCAGACAGCTGCCTCTTTTCCAAACTCACCGAAATGCGTCATCAGTCTATTCTCGAATAGCAACGGATTTGATCCCAAATTCACCGGATTCGCACTGCACTTGGGTGATAGAATTCTCTCCGTCCCGGAACGGAGGTGAATGGCGACTAGATGCAGCAGACAAGTCCCTGGCCGATGCAGATTTTGTGGGTCTACGTTCGCCAGTTGATCATGTTGTGTCGGCATGGCAGGCCTCAGTAGATCGAATTTGCTGAAACTTAAATGAGTGTTAGTGAACCACAGAAAGCTGATGACTTACCGGTGGTATATGGGCTTCAACATTCGGAAGATATCAACGGAACTGTTTAATAAACGAAGCGTTAGGCCAAGCAGAATGTAACTTGGGTAAGTCAGGTCTAACTCTCGTGATAAATTTATGTGATGGGAGTTGCGAGGCCTTTGACTTCGGACTGCCCACAAATTTTCAGTCTTTTGAATATCAGCAATGTGGCACATCATATCCTGGAGACTTTCAGTCTGGCTGTGGTACCAGCTTATCCGGCTATCTCAAGGTTTCTTTTGTTCGAATTATCCGGGCCCCAACAAGTGGAAGTATAAAGGCATATAATTAGATGCTCATGTAATTTGTCCATGATCTTCACTGTGCGGGTTTGTTACATTAGGTTTCTTCTTATTAGCTAGATGCGCATCGCTGCATTCTCTTTTCGATGTACGAGATATTTATTCTAATTCACTGAGCTGCGGCGTGTTCGAAGCACCTAGTTTTTGTTTAAAATATTTCTGAATGTTAATCTAGAGCCCCGAACTCTTTCTGCGTTTATTAGTCGACAAAAAGCGTTTTACATTTAGCCGACATGGTCCTGAAATTATGGAGGGTCGGCTATTACTGCTGCATCTTTGTGAGTGGAATTCGCTTCGGGGGGAAACAAGTGATATGCTATATCAGGCACCTCACAAATTCCTGCGGTATTACGCTTAGTAAAGTCCGATTTCTAAGAACGCTTAGGTACGTCACATAGTATTTCTACATATGTTTTTCTACACATATCGCGCTCGCTCGGAGCTCCCTCCCAAACGTTGTTTACACATTTTTTACTTGACTGTGCTTGTGCTTGCCATTAGACGTTCCCCATAAATGATGAAATACATTAGGTGTTCATGTCATGAGTAACTTAACTTTAATGAGACCAGGCGCTATCAACACCTGTGAAAACCCGAACAACCATCCGTCTTCTTCGAATTATTTAGTTTCCCAGGCGCGCGGTGTGGTCGGGCGGTTCTAACATGCACAGTTCTAAAACGAATTATCCTTTTGTAAGATCAGTTTAGTGGCCCTAACAAGTGGGATCAAAATATTCTTTAGAATAACGCGTAATACAATGAAGTCCGCTGTCGACACTAGCAAAATGAGGGCACGGCGTGAGTTCGCTTCCACTTTTGCTTCCCGTTTGTGTTTCTTTGCCCTACCGCCCTGGACAATGTCAATAGAGAGTGGAATGTGACGATGTGAAACATTACACATGACGTCACAGGGGCTTGGTAAACAATAACTTTATATCACTTAGATTAAGGAATAGCTAAGAAAAAACCGGGCATGCAGGACAAACTTTCAACCTAGATTCATACAGTCCTGTAAAATTCTGCTGTAACCTGCTTTGCTTTTCTAAAGCGAGGAATGCTACAAACAGTGGTGCAATAACTGTTTTCCTCTTAAAAAACTGTGCGGTAGCAGAAAGCTATTTAATAGCGCTGCTCAACAATGCGGGATAGACTGGTTGTTAATTAGGTCTGGTATCAAAACCTCCTCCAGATACTCCCGGGGTGCGAGCTACATTTATCGGACCATTGAGGGCATATTGACCTTAATTGGGTAAGTTGCGTAAACTTTAGAGCATTCAACCTGGCAAGAGAACTATCAATTTGTGCGGAACCCAAACGGTTAGATCGGAAAGCAAGCCCACCATTTTTATGGATTAAGCCATTTCGTTCAGAAAGCCTACGGGCATGGTACGACAATGCTTTGATGTTTCTGGCGGTGACCAGTCAAAAACCGGATTCCCCGCACCATTTCGCGCGCAAAGATGGAGGATTGGTTCGCTTTGTCGTTTATGATTTCAGCTCTTAATTCGTGGCCATCGGGTGCCCTGTATGTTGAAACTTTCAACTGTCCCAATTAGCGGCCAGTGAGGCTCACATGTATTCAACTATATACCACAGTGCGTGGCTTACAAACTTTGTTCTCTTAATCTAAATGTTGCAGTAGGCTAGGTTCCAATAGACTAATTTTTTTACCCGAGGACAAATCACCGGAGAGGCGGGGGCACTGTCTGTCTTGCGAACAGGGGTCACTACTAGGGCGCAAGGGTGCCTAAGCTTCGAAATAGTTGGTCGGCCAATGCAACCGGTTGCTTTGAGTCGCACATGTTTTTGGTGTTTAAACCAAGACTCTGATGTACGCCGGTTGACCAAAGAGGCGAGCACTCATCATCAAGTGACCGTGTCTACTGACAGCCACCTTACAAATTATGAGGACATTATTTTTTGGCAAAGAAAACCCAAGTCGGTTTTATTGGTAGCTGCTTCTGACGACCATGAATTCTCGCGGGCGGGGGATAAGAATATCCAAATATACTCGAAGTTACCATTGAAAATACGAAAAAGTTTATCCAAAGTGCTAAAGCGCCGCTGCAAACCTCCGTGCCGCGAAGACTGACATATGGACTCCAAGTCGCGACTATGCACCACAGGCTGGAGTGGTGTGTTTATAACAGTGAGGTGTTCGGCTAAAGATCACCTCATGACCATCATTGAAAGGAAAATGGGCTTTAGCTTAAGAAAACCATAGTAGCCTCCGCTATCTCAGTTGTCCAGCGGTTTGGCACGTTATGGATAGAACATAGGGGGAAAACAAATACCCGGGGACCGCCATGGGCACGGTTGTGTGCGAAAATCTCTGGGCCACCCGCGCTAAGTCGGTCCCAGACCGAGCACTTCGATGATCAATACGATGCTCCTAGTTTTAAGCAAGAAATTTGCCAGATATGCACTTGTCCATCGTAGCGCTCAACCCTTTGGGTAGATGTGAATGTATATGGTGCTTTCAGGCATTGAATATGGCTACATCGCCCATGTGAAGCTTGAGTAACATAAATGCTCCCTGCAATAAATGTTTTGAGAAGCGTTTTCCAAGCCCAATAATCTCAAGAGGCTGAAGATTGATGTAAAAACGGACTTTAAAAAATCATCAGAAGCTGACAAAAAAGCACTATGCTTATTTTCCAACATAAGTAGAGCAGTACGAACTGTCTGTGTGGGGTACAGTGACATTCTGAAGTAGTCGATTAGGTTAGGTCTTTACATCCAGAAGCTTACACCACCTTGTAGAATTTTGCGGCAACATGTGCAAACAAAAAGAGCAGGTGGTGCTGACTGGCTATATAACCTCATGTACAAGTATACACTCAAACTCTGTCCTCCTCCTCCTGTTCATCCCCGTCATCTTAACTGTTAGATTCTTCCTTTGTCACAGCATCCGCAGTTTTATTTATTTCAGATTTCCTTGGTCCCTAGATATCATCATATGAGTCGTCGCCATCACCTTCGTCCCAACTTTTCATAACCACTGGCAGCTTCATAGGGAGCCCCAGAATTTCCAATGGTTTAGCGTTGGTTGGCGCAGTTTGATTGCATTCCATGCACTGATTTATTTACGATACAAATTTCTCCAGCAAACTGGCTTTCTAGTTTCACAGACCTCTGAAGCGCTGACTGGGCAGAGGCGGCAGATGGAAACTCAACAATTGCAGACCCTTCACAGGCGCTGTCATGTCTCCAGTTTAAACCGATTTTCGACGCTCCCGAACAGGCCTTGATGAAGTCAGATTCCAAAACACCGGCTTGTATATTCCTGATCAAAAGCACATGACCTCTTCGATAAGAACTTAGTCGCAGCACATGTTACTGCATTAGCTGCCGTCCGATTGTGGTGCGTTACGCAGCGTGGTTTCATAAGCAAAGTAGAGGAAATGACCCACTGAAAATTGCTTGGGTTTCTTATGCCTCCCCACAGCAATAGTGTAAGAGATATATCAACCTGTCACTGTCGATCAGGTTTCGTAATCTAGAATTACCGTGAACCATATTCTTGTCCATTTTCGGTATGCTAGAAGAGCACCGTGGGGTAGTGGCCCGACTCTTGCGCCGCGCTTCGATTCCTGGCAGAGATCTTTTCTATAGCAACCGGAAGCATAGACGGCCCCCAATCCAAAAACAGCAAAATATCTTGGCAATGAGATAGTAAAGCTGGCCATCGATAGACTATTCAAGGGCCGTCAAATACTGAAAGTTAATCGACTTCCATGAAAGTGTCTTGGCTTCTGGGAGGCAATGTCAAACATGAGCTGACCCGAAGCCAAGTTATAGTGAAAACAAGTCGAGTTTGCAAAAACATTCTACTTAACTGTCGGTGAAAAATACAGTGACATCTGTCGGTAAAATGACGTTCGATGAGGATCAGAGTAGGGAGCTTTACACTGGTGAGACGAAGACGTGTAAAGACAGGCCAGCAGCAACTTGGTACGAGATCAACAATTGCCAGTGATGTTAATCAAATGCAGCATTTGTCTCTAAGCAAGCATCCCGTTAATGAATGAGGTGTGCATGGTGAACCGAGACTGTACGTTACTAAGGAGAAATTGGGCAAGGGGATCTTTACAAGGGTTGACTCATCGGAATAGGACGGCGAATACAGAGAGTGCCTGTAGGATGGTGGAACTTCTTGACGATCTAGATGAGGGAAAATGAAAGCAAAATAGGAAGGGACAATCAGCAACTATGATTTTCACTTCCCAATAAAACATCATTCTTTCAACACAAGGAAAAGCGCATTCGGTTTTGGCTGTATAGACCCATAAAATGTACAATCAGGATTCGTTTCTATGTCAAAAAAGCAAATTTCTCATGGATTTAAAATGCCAGTCTAAACTGCACCCCGGGTTTTAAACCGGGAGTGCAACAAGCGAACACTGAAAGGATGGACACCTCAAAGCAAAGCATTTTCTCTACCCACGAAATCTGCCGTTGTCTGCGACGACAACACCGGTATTTATCACTGCCACTTCACTGCTGTATGACGTACCGAGCCACTTGCACAAATTATTGTATGGACAAGGACATATTGGAAGAGACAAGGGGATATAGCGCGTTACAAGTGTGAGTCGTTCACATTCACGCCATTGCCTTAGTGCGGAGACACGGTCCACACAATCCACTCATGTGTGAAATGCGATTCGATGGTCTCAGGTTAAGTTTATGCGTCCCAGCCTAAGATGCCAACAGGGTAGGTGAGATTTCCCATCAACAAGGACACTGATTTTGTTAAATCCCCGCCGGAAAAAATTCAACAAGCCATTCGGGGTGGCAGCATCATGAACTTGTTTGAGATTTAGTGATTCAATGGACCCGCTTAAGTTCTACCAAGAGCACAGCTCTCCGGATCTTTGGTAGTTGTGGGAACGTTTACGAAGAAGCCTGAATCAGGGGACTAATAGACAAGAAAAGAATATAGTAGGTCATGTCATGTCACTAGGTTGGTTTGCATGGCTTGAAAACGTCCCAATTGTTAGACGAGATGTGCGCGCTTCGTGCCCCACTGAAAGTTGTCACTTTGATATGATGCTGGAGCTTGAGTGGTGTTACAATCCCTAGGATACATTGGATGGAACTTTGTTCCAAAACGTGACCATTCAAAGAATGTCAAAGGAAAGTAGTCAGAAGTATGTTTGCACCGTGTAACCCGAAGACCACTACGAGCAAACCAACCACGAACCCAATTGGATCATGTGGCAATGGCCACAAATGAAGCACTACGATTAGACTACCGCTCCTCTTGGAGCGAGCAACTTGATTCCAACTGCGTCACAGTTGAAGCTTGGCAGTTCCCCAAATCGTATGTTGTGCTATATTCTCGATTAGTCGGAGAGCTCACGGGTATCAAGTAAAGTTAGGATCTCGTCCGAGATTCAGTGTTTTAACGTAGTTGGTGGCACTGTGCTACAGGAAGAGAGCTCGGCAGCTTGCACAGTGGTGGATAGTCCTTAACGGCAGAAGGTAGGTTGGTTGAAAGAGATTACACACAATGGGGTCTACCAGATCCTCAATGACCAGTCCAGATGTGTGCGTACTGTGTCCCCGAAAAGCGCAAAAATTAGCAAGGAACATGCGCGTCGTATGACTCAATACAGACATTCAGTATTGATTCACATCCATTTGGGTATAACGCTAGATTGCATGTGGTGGACACCATGTGGATAAGCACTTCTGGCCCTGATCTGTTGTTAAATGACCTAACGAACGCGTCTGCATCAGAAGACAGCAACTACGACTAGACAGCTAAGCATAGGCAGTGGACGGTCAGATTGGCTTATGCTGTCTTCACTTCACTGCTACACTGTTGTTTTATTGGACAAATGGCTATTAGTGGTTACCTACACTCGTTTTTTTCTGATTTTAACCAGCCCGAAGAACGTTTGACTTGTCCTCATGACAACTTGAGGATTGCGAACTCCATGGCTCACTCCATTATCTCAAGGGTTGAGTGCTTATGGTCCCAGGTACTCATTCCTTAAAGAAAACCGTTCACTTCAATCCGGGCCAGCCGCTAGTAACCACCCTCAGACGATCAAGGACTACTACTATATCTACTGTCAACACACGTTTTCTCGCACAGAGCTCTCAAACACTCTCCTGTTCGTTGCGTACAGAGTTCCACCGAACAATAAACTTCTTTTGGCGAATTCTGTCATCTTCAGTAAGGTCCACTCTAGATTCCACAAAAATATGGTGTAATGAGATTTCCTCGCCCCTTCTCTTGGCAGAATTACGACTTGTACACTGACAAGTTCCAATAAAAAACTACTCTCGTTCTCTGCCTACCCATTGCTTCCATGTTTGCACCCTTTCATGCGTACCAGTCAGTAGGCCAGCTTAGCTGAAACCTTGGAGACTCTTCAAATTGTTGACGCGGCTAAAAATTCGACCGCTATGCGCCCTTCTGACGCTGTAATGAGTCTTCAGGTGATTTCCAGGACAGTGCACGGCCTCTGCTTTAGGAGAGACTGGTGCTGGTAGCGCCCTAAGAGTAGGCCTATCTGTAATGTTTTTTTTGTATCCTATACCATTTTCTTTTACTTAACAAAGTAGTGCTCACGATTCCTTTATTAACGTTTGCTACAGTGAAGAGAGCGTAAAATTAGCCATGAAAAATCCGCGGTTGGTTATTCGTTTCCGAACAGACCTATTTTAATAAATCGAAATCGAGGCGTGTTATCGAAAATAAAGAGACTTGGCAGTATTATCGAAACTAAAGCTGCCACCGCTCAACGGGTAATTACATCTTGGAAACTTACTTCATTATGGATTCCTTGAAGTCGTTAATCTGGTCCATCGTTGCATGTACTAATCCGTCTGCGCGGAGGATGGGTAGGCTGGTGACAGCTGTGTTGAGCCAGGTAAGGAACAGCTAGAAGAGGCGTTGGAGGGGTGAACACAAAGAACGTGTGAGTATAGGACATAGGAACTGGCATGCAGTGTGGAGTGGTTCCTTTTCAGTTGGACAGAATTTTGCAAGTATAACGGGAGTTCAAACGTAACGGAAGTATTTAGGATACCAATTTCCCAATTTCACCTCAAGCTAGGGAAATCCGACAGACAAAAAACAGACGCTGAGTGACTGAGGTGTTTCGGCCGAGTTCTACTGGCACAAGTCATTGCAAGTAAACTTAAATCGTCAACCCAACTCTTCATCCCCGTTTGCGTCCATCTGGCATTATGATACACCCATTGGACGAAACACTGTCGTTTAGATAAAGAAGACAGTGCAAAACAGTGGGGTTGTCATCATCTTTGGACAACTAAGAGCGAAAACTCAAGAACCAACATATCTACTTTGGTCTGTCACCTGAGACTTTTTAATGCCTATAACAAGATTCCTTGATGATGGACTCTGGCTCCGAGTAACCAGCTGGCTGTCACTCTCCTTCCACAAACTTAGTGACTGGCAGCTTTAACAGAAATCAGATATTACAAGTACGTTCATTCCAGGGGGTGTGCGAATTTGAATGAAAGTCGGTCAGTCTTGTGTGTCGTGGGGCTGATAAGGAACACTCAGTATCGAGCAATCATTCCGGAAATGGGAAACATTTGTCAACGAAAAACGATACACGATTTTCGTTAGTCCCATACTGGCTTGGGAAATTTAAAGCTTTTGCGATTCCACTACCGAAGCATCTGTGAAACAACATTGTCGAAGAAGTGGGCGTGTAGTCAAATAATACATCCGTTCACATCCGAAGATGTAATAAAAGGCAATGAATGCTATTGGGAAGATGAACTACAAAGTCAATAAAACCGAGAAATGACTGCCTGAAACAAAAAGAAAATGGTTCCAGCCAAACGTAGCAAACCTATCGGTTCTACCTGAAGGAATAGTTTTGTTCATCTCTTGATTAGCAGCTATATAATGCTGACTTAAAGAAGAGGTTGTCGACGCCTCGTGTATTGTTCTCCACGCGTCCCCTAAAGTTACGCAGCGTACCGATCCGGGACAAGTTTCGTTTTCCGAAGCACAGATACGAACTTAGTATACTTGAAATTCAAAGTATCCAAATCTACATCGAGTTCCTAAAACTAATCGAAAGTTGCTGTTTTCTCTAAGACAATTCATCGAGCATTTAAGAATAACAGTACACCTGATAACTACCAGTCCAGCTACCATGACACGGAAACCACCAGGATATCGCACACGACAGAAAGCGAAATGTTCCAATTTGGTCTTCTGTTAGAACTAATTTGTTGATGAATGTTGTTTCTGCTGTATAATTAGCGTCAAGTGGCTCCAGGTCCCCGAGCATCGATCCCTGCGTGGAGTATGATCATTACCAGCCTGTAGACTGAGGTCAATATCGTGATACCACTTCCACACTGACGAATGTAAAACTTCAGCATCCGAACAAACAGCAACATTCAGTTACGTCGAAATATCGGTAGGTCGGATGCGTTTGCTGGTTGTTGTTGATCGGGTGACGATTGATTGGTTCGCCAAACTTGGCGATTAGCTTATAAACGAGGAGGTACCATCAGTAAACGGTTGGGTGTGTACTCCCTTCTTACCTGCGTGTGTTTATATAACAGCCAGTGCGCACATTGACGAAGCAGTGACGAAGTATTTGCAAGCAAATTACAATGCTCGACAAACAGATCAATCGCCAGGTGATCAACAACCAAGAAACGCACTCGAGTTACCAATATTCCAGTACACTATCAAACTCAAAAAGAATTCAGTGCTTCTTAAAAAGCCTTGCCTCCTGAACATAACCTTATGTTTGGATGAACACATTTGCAAACTTATTGTTGATAGGGCTCACGTGAGTTCACCGGAACCTAATTGCGCTGCACAACTGCCGTCTTATGTTTCATTTGGAACGAATTCGAAATATCAAAGCGTGTTTCAACACTAATCACACGTTCAATGAAGGTTCTCTACAGTCGATCACCGGTTTCATCCTTTTTACGGCTCATGAGGTAAGTCTAGTCCTCGAATTTCAGTTAACGTTTTTCAGGTAGGAAAGTGACAGGAAAAATAGTCTTGCGATGCCTCGAGCTATGCGCAAGATTTTTGGTAAACATACCTCATTTTTGGTCATCACGTTCAGTTGGTGTAGTATGTCAGCCATTTCGGGAAACCGCTCCTCGGATATCCCTAGACAACAGGCTTGAATAACAGCAGATACGAGACGTTGGCCACCACACTGGATCATTTCAGGACCGTTGGCGGCCACTGGCTGGATTAGCCAGACAAGGACACGTTGAGCAGCCATTGCTGAGGGACAGGATGGAGTGGCCAACTGACCACCAGAAGATATAATCTGTGCAACTTGCGTTGGGGTAACTTCAGATGCCTGCCCTGTGAAACTCAGCAAGTCAATCAAGAATCGAGCTGCGGCGGCAGAGGCACTGGACGATGAATTATTATTCTGAGAGTCCCCGTTCGAAGACGGCGTGTCGGTTATATCGTCATTTGCTCCAGGCCCCGTACAGTACAAACCCAAAGAACGCACAGCCACATTGCACAATTCATTGAAGTCGACCTCTTCACTTGTGAGAAACGCCACTGGACATCGTTGAACTAGCCGGGTACAAAGGCGATACAAATCTTCGACGGTGTGGGGGTTTTGGGAGAGGGCTGGCCCATCAAGCATTTTCAGGGTTGGCCCGCCAAGAGCCTGTGAGTATTGGATGGCAAGCATAAGATTAACATAAGTCTAGTATCGTATAAAACGTATGTTCCACAAGAAAATGACCAAACGGCAAGTGAGGGGAGAATAATGAGCTAACCAAATGTCAACCAGATCGGTGAAAGTGACGGGGATAGTGGAAGGTTTGTATCGCAAATGCAATAAATATGTCACCTGACATACCAACTTCACCAAACACGTAAAGCCGCCACATTTAATTAGCAGGAAACACAGAAAAGTTGTTTCTTCCCTTCCTAGGCAAGCACAATCGAGGAACCATGTTATACCGGAAAGGCCAAGTTATCTATATCGTGCTTAGCAGTGGTCGGTGTCGACTGATGCTTCGCTAACGTACTGTCAAGAAAATTTACTTTAAGAAACTCCATGAAGAGAAAGCTGTGCAAGGAAAAGAACTGTCGGCTTGCCACAAAAAGTCCGGTGGTCATACCTCTAAAAACCAGTTAAACAATACAGACTGAACAGGATAAACAAAACAGTTTTTATTAGTTAACTGTCACATTTTACAACGCCTACAGCCAGGTCCACAGGGGGTCACGATGACCCCATTTCGAACGGGGTTCATACCAACAGTCCGCTGACCGGCATGAGGTTTGCGCCACCCTGTAAAATGTACGATGAACGACCTCGATAAATGATGCAGCAGACAAGGCATATGATCCATCCACCGCAAATGAAGTACACGCCACACAAACAAACAGTATTATTTTAACGTCTCACTGAAAAGCGGTCACCACTATCCTGAGTCCTCCATCCTCAAGGGCCGCGTGACATAACCATGCACCGAGAGATGGGTGATGGGTCAGCTGCGGCAACAGAGGTCTGCGACTCAATTTTTATCATGCCTACTGGTCATCCAAAACAAGGCACCCTGACTGAAGTTTTCTACCATGAGAAATTGCGCCTCACATAGTATTACAGGTTGCAAGTAGTCCCGCATTCCACACCGAGGTTCATTTTCGCAAATGATTCGGATGTACTTCTCAGATGTGAGCTCGCACCTTTTGCAGTGTTTGGCCATTGAATGCTCGCTCTGCTTGTGCATCTACCATAAGATGAACCACCGGAAATGCTCCCGACGCATGTGTTCACATGCGGTTCAAATAAGATGTGTTCACTGAACTTAAGTGGTATGACGGCTTCCATCCACTTTTCTCTTACATAACCCTTGATCCTTCTGCTTGCACTTTCGTTGAGTAGTCAAGATTCCCTTAGTGGTTCAGATCACTTCGAAGAACAATGACTCAAAGAAAGAAAGATTATCCAGCAGCTCAGAAAAAAGAATATGTGCTTCCGGAGATCGAACACAAAACTTGTGCAGCTTTGAACTCAAAGCTTGGCATATAGATGTACTCGGTAATCCACTACTGGCATTATGATGGGCGACGTTGGTTATTCAACCTTACTTTGAAACCGAAATTAGAAGCATCTTGTAAGTGGGATATCCGTATGCCTTTGAGCAGATAAAAGAGAAACAAAACCTTTAAAAACGCATACGTCCCTGACTTGACACTTGCCAACGGCTCGATAAAACGGATAAACCACGAGGGAAACTCCAATAAAAAAGTAAGGGAACTTACTTCATAAACACGAACCAGTCCGAACCGACAATCTGGTTGTTCTCCAAACTCATCCACCAGCACGCTTGCCAGATATAGGAAACTGGAGTGTTGACCCCCTGTGCGATAGGCTACTACGATCTGAAGACACACAGAAACGGATAAAGTGAAATTATTAGTTAGTAGTACATCTGCTGCCAAAAAAGTTTCTTCCTGGGTGAGAGGCGCGGGACCTTCTGTATGCCTATCCGAAAAAGAGGTGGAGGCAGTACCGAGCTCATACTCTAGTCCCTGAAAATTTGACTGAAAATTCCTCGAAAAGTGAATGAACCAGACGTGATTTGTAAGGTTTCTTCGAGCAACAACAATCATAGTGTGCCCATCACCACCCGAATTTCACCAAAGAACAAACGGATAGGGTCTGTAGTCCTACCAAGTGGTCACTGTAGACAAGGGATCACCAGTTGAACTGACAATTCCAAAAGGCGTCTCGTATAGCTCAACAATGCTCTATAAGACATTCAGAGAGCATAGGCATCACGACGATCCAGTCAGTAAAGGAGGTGCACCAAGTCAATTTGACCAGTGAGCCCTGTCGAGCTCAAATGCGAAGGCAACTATATGTTGATCACCTGCGATTTCAACGGTCACCAATGGACTCACCTTACTAAGGATGATTGGCCGTCAGCAGGGCTTTGATGGAGACAACTCAGTACCACACAGACAAAAAACACGGTAGAGCGAGCTGACATGAAGACCAGTATGCCTCGATCACAACTGTATCGGACGATCGCTATAAATGTGGTGAGAAGCCCCCACCCAAAACATATTAATCGCCAAAATAATGTGCTCAGTGTTTCACGAGCTTTGATACAACGCTGTATCTCGTCCAACTCAGTGAAGCAGATCTTCCAGCGAGGACCTCTTTTGTTAAAAAGGTAACAACATCGTATCTGCAAAAACATTTTTGCGGAGTGCAACTAATTTGTTCCAACAGACAGTCGAATTACTTGCTCCAGATAACACAATGAGAAAGAGACAGAAAAAGCCCGCAATACTGTGCGTTGACGCAGGAAATTTCGCGGATTTACAGCAGACCTACTGGAAGGCTCACTACACGTTGTTTTTTTAGAAAGCTGGAACAAACTGATATGAAGTGCGGTTAAGAAAGAAAATTCATTGTTTAAGCTTAATGCGCTACTCATAAGGTTGCCGAAAATCCGTCCGCAGCCCGTGACCGGTTTAGCCCTACTTGGGGCTAAGTAGGTAAGCGCAGTCCCAGAATTTCCGCCAACCTTATGTTCTACTCGAACCCAAATTCATTATTGAAGACAAGACTCACCTTTTCGGCAATTTCCGGGAGCAAGTCCCTCAGGTGCACAGAGAAACAGCGCACGATGAAACGAATCAACCGGCAGGTGTGTTCCATATGACGCGCCCGGCTAGAATAGAACGTTAGTACACGAGCGACCACCGGCCAGATAACCTCACGGACCAGTCGTAAACTTTCAGACAAACAAGTCTGTGCAGACTGTGCCAAACTGCCAGCTTCTCTGATCCCGATACTTTGGGTGCCCGTACCCAACTGCTGTTTGCCTCCATCATCCAACCGACGCAGAAAACATCCGAATGTACGAAACAGAGCTGCCAGGTAATCTAACCATACGCGAGGATCGGTTGTTGTGTCAGTCCCGGTGATGGCAATGTTCTCTGTCATCAGCTAAACAAACAAAATTTCATTACGCAAGTGTGAATGACGGTATAGGGCTGGGATCCATGTCCGAAGACCTCAAAGGAAACACAAGAGAAGACAGTACAGTATCAGCATTCTGAGAAATTGTTAACAGGTTTCTACGTCTGCCCGACCTTCACTGTTGCTTGAAAAAATACCGCTGACGCAGCACACATGCTCGGAGCGACGAACCGGTTGAGGTTCATATGCATCGGACGGTGGACTCGCCTCATATAACCTCGTGAGCTGTGTACCCTCCTTTGACACCATGATTGAGCCGTATTGGTACATATATATTGCGCGCTCTGACCTTGCCACATAATCATACGATAGTGTTTGATAACGGAATTCCTAATACACGTACCAAATTCCCGGTCAGCCAGGAAGACAACCAACAAAAAGCCAGTGTAATAAACATTTCATGCATAGGACACTCTAAGCTGTAGAACCTGGGTGCAGGCCACTTTGAAGCGCTGTACATGTGAGAGCAAAATCCAACAGTTGTTGGGTCTTAAATAAATACTAAATAGTGATCGTTTAGCTGTAACACCACTTGAGCGCATAGCTGCCACGCCACCCGAAGAATGAGGACTGAGATGTCGTCAAGTTACGCACGCCTAGAAAAGGGAAGTCGAGATGCTGCGGCTGAATTGGGACCACAGGCCTTCTGTAGAGTAATTTCGCGCCTAAACCACGAAGCTATATCGATCTCTGTTAGGTCTTGGGAAGATGTGGCTCGATGACGTCAAGAATGTATTGTTAGACTCATAAAAGCGGAGGCAAACTACACGAGAGATTCTAAAGCATGGGCCCGTGACCAGACAACAGATTTACCGCGGTGTGTAGACTCAGTGATAGAGCACTGAAACAACCCTTTCTGTACAAAGTATTGAAAAACTTTCATGGCTTTTATTGTCACTTGATTTTACTGTGGGCTCACTTCTGATATATATTCACTGGTAAACTTGAAATTAAGTAACCAAGGAATGTGTACTACTCGGAAACGATAATAACTGCCTAATGGATGCTCTAACAGATTCAAATGGGCTCTTTTGAAGATAAACTTTCTGTTGAACTGTAATACAAATCTCAGTCCAATTTTCCAATGTTGCTATTCTGGTGTGGGCTGGTGAAACCATTTAGTTTTCATAACTAAAAACTATACAGGCCAGTGCAGTCATTGAGGCAGGTATATCCCCCCTAAATCACTGTGGCGGGAACCAAAATCTCGTAAATAACTGTGCAGTTAGCAAAACAGAATGAGAATAAAAATGTACAATTTCTACTACAAAAATTCCCCTACTAACCTAATTACCAGGAAGTGAAATAACTGTGATTATGTACACGTCTACTAATCTGCCTTGTCATCAAGATTCACCTGGAAGGCGGACTGTCAGGTCAAATTTCCAGTTTTCCTTTGTGTGCACCTGTGCAGCAGAGTAAGCCACTGAACTCAAAAACATTGTTTACCGCACAGAAATAAAACGGTTTCTTTGCGCTGCGAGTGATTGACAACAACTCACTTTGTCCAAACACTCAAGGCTGACACCGCATATCTGTGCCAGGCGAGAGGGAAAGGCTTGTCTGGAAGAATTGGGGTCAAAATCAACACCACCTCCACCTGACCCGATTGAGGATATCATTCCTCGGCCAATACCTGAAAAGAAGTTTGTCGCATCGTAAACAGGAACCCAAGCCAGCCGAGGAAGGTTGTAGGCTACGCGCTGGACCAAATCTTGCCAGTGGTCGTCCAACAGACCTGTCCGAAGGGACTCGGAACCAGGAGAGGTCAAGCCGTTGGGACCACCGGACGGCGTCGCACGGTAGACAGAAGCAAGGCTGCCCAAAGCTGACAGGGCAGCACTGACGGCAAGCTTTTGTCCAGGCTTGGTCGAAATACAAGAGTGAAGAGGGAAAGCGATGAGACAAAGAAAAGGACAGGAAAGCCGCAATACGTCTTCAAATAACGGAGTAATGTGTGAGCAAAAAGCGGGAAAAACTGTCACTCGTGCATGTATGTATGATGAAGACCGCCACAGTTCACCTGAATGGTCTAACTGGTGATCAGAAGCCCTTACAAACACGGCACGCAGGCGGCCCTCCAGTGAGAATGCTTAACCAGGCTGAACAAATACAGTTTGTCGTCCGCGTAATTGGTAAGATTTAGGATACCACTAACTTGATGAGCGCCAAAATTAAGTTGTCTCGTCAATACTTGGTCGAATGTCCAGCTAAGCTGTGTACGTAGTATGGTTGTTAAAAGAGAAAGCTAGAGGACGCAATCATCAACAGCAAAAGACCAGTAGCAAATGCTGGGTGGTTAACTTCTGTAAAATAAGAAACTCTACCGATTAGGACACGTACCAAGGCAGGTTCCACAACGGTGTATGTGACACGGTGTCTACACAGTCCCCAACCCCCGCCACCATCACCGAAAGACGAAAAATGGCGTCATTCAAAAGACAATACATCCATAATAAGGTCCCCGGAAGATGCATATACCCCAGGTGGAGTCTGAAGTACGGCGTCCGAACCTTACGAGAGGTGACCCACGATCGCTATCAGCCACACATCGCAGCCACAAAACACAGCGCTCACCGTGGCCTGGTACACGCGACCTTTTAGACCCAGTGATATGCATTTTTAGCGCCACAAGTGACGCAAATCAGCAAACGTGATTCGGGCATTAAAAATTCTTGAACTCGCTTCATCGGATACATTCCAACAGAGCCAGTATTACTACCGTGGTATGCACTCCAGTAATTCTCCTTGAATTTTCAGGGGCATCTCCAGAGGCTTGACGTTTGAAGCATGATTTCGAACTTTGAAGGTACAGGGTGTATGCTGAAAGACGGTATGACGGTGGTCCGTTTATTCAACACGGCTTGTGCATCGCCTTCGCCTGCAAAGATGAAAAGAGCGCTGGATCGATAAGATTTGCGCTAGCAACGATTTGAACATCGAGGTTTCGATGATCTTCCGGTGTCCGCTTCATTAGTTCATTGACGACGAAGTTGAACGAAAACGTACACATCTTCGTCGGACACCACGTTTTGTAGGGAAGCATTTAGAGAGCTCACCATACACTCTCGCACACCCGGAAGCGTATGGATGTAGGGATCGGATTATATTCACAAACTTCTGAGATATGCCCTCTTGAACATAATATAATAATAACCGTTCAGCCCTTTCGGTGCCTAGCTGCCATGCCACCCGAAGGAAGCACGAGGGCTGGGATACTGTCAGGTTGCCCACACCTAGATAGGGAAGTCGAGAGGCAGAAGTCGGATTCGAACCACGGACCTTCCGGTCAGTAAATTCGCGCTCTAACCACTTGAGCCATATCGCCCCGTAGTTAACAACAATGACCGATCGACAGAATCGAACGCACTCTTGAAATCAAGGAACACCGAGAATGCTCGTTATCTGAACATGTGACGCTGCTCTAAGACCTGGCGCACTGTGATGGTCTGGTCAACAAAGCCTATACTCGGTCGAATCCCCACTTGATGCTCACAGGTCAACGATTCGCGTTCTGCCATAAGGCGACCAAGAATTGTGACACAAAAATCCTTATGACGACGGGAGTCACTAACACATCTGGGGTTACCACATTCACTCCAAAAACCTTTTTGAAAACGGCCACTATTATAGACTTACCCCACTTGCCTGCGGCGGACTCTTTATCCCAGACAGACTGGAAAATTTACTGCCATTCTTAAACAGAGCAGGTGGAAGGTCGTCAGGGCCAGGAGCACGATGACGTTTGAGGAGACATATGCACTCATGCACTTCTGAGATTAAAGGGAGCTGCATAATCAGTTCCCCTCTCTGATGAAGGCCGAAAGTTCGCATTGGAGGTAGAACGTGGCCAAGTGATTTGTTGTTCGAAGTGCCATGCTCACTAGCATCCACTAGCCTCTCAGTGGCTGTGTAGTGTGAGCATTATGCGTAAACCTGAAAAGCCCAGTGAAAAGCAGTAGGGCACAAGTGCATCGTCGGAGTCCACGCCAGAAGGAGCGGTAGGCAGTAATCGATACTCGCCACTTGCGACTGACGGCGGGTTAGTCCATTTGGATTCGGGGCTGGTTCGTTGGTGGGCACCACGTTCCGCAAACTGGTGCTGCAAAGGAAGTCTGTGACCGATACATATCTAAAGCAGGCGCCCTCCGTTGTCCGTGCGTTTCGTATTCAGCCCAAGACGATCATCCAGCTGGACCTCAGCAAGGCTTAGTCTACCTTGGCGTTCATGCCACCAGGAACCACAACGGTGTCTGAGTTTTACCCAGCTGTAAAAGAGCAGTGTGAGCATTATGCGTAAACCTGAAAAGCCCAGTGAAAAGCAGTAGGGCACAAGTGCATCGTCGGAGTCCACGCCAGAAGGAGCGGTAGGCAGTAATCGATACTCGCCACTTGCGACTGACGGCGGGTTAGTCCATTTGGATTCGGGGCTGGTTCGTTGGTGGGCACCACGTTCCGCAAACTGGTGCTGCAAAGGAAGTCTGTGACCGATACATATCTAAAGCAGGCGCCCTCCGTTGTCCGTGCGTCTCGTATTCAGCCCAAGACGATCATCCAGCTGGACCTCAGCAAGGCTTAGTCTACCTTGGCGTTCATGCCACCAGGAACCACAACGGTGTCTGAGTTTTACCCAGCTGTAAAAGAGCACTTAGAGCATCGTAGAGACTGTCCTCCACATAGACGTACGGTTCTTCGGGGACTGTAGATACAGCTTCTGAAGAATGACAAAGCAGTAAGGCCAGGATGGCCGTTGGATTCCGAAGGTGATTTCATTCGTTCGACGTATCGTAGCTAAATTGTGTCCCAACACTGAAGGCTTGGAACCGGGGTTCTTCAAGCTAACAGAAAACCAACGGACCTACTCAGACCGGTAGGCTCACGTGGTCCACGTGCACTATGTTAAACACACGACCCAACAAAACCAACTCAATTTGGGCCAGCTCCATAATAAATCAACCAAGTGCGGACAACCATTTACTCTTTTTTGTACACATCAGAGTGAATCTCCACCCGTGGTTTTTTTTTGAATTATTGATTTCCCCGTTTCGTGCTATCGAAATCACATCTACTCCAAAGTATTTGATACCAATAGTGAACAGTCAGACAAGCACACGATCACATGCACAATGCATCGTTACGACACACCGCGGGCAGAGTATCACTATAGCTGTTGGCTGTCCAACAAGAGAAGCTGTGTGAATGAAGGGGACGATAAGATTAGTTGAGCTCACCTGTAAATTCGGTGCTTCCACGCCGGCTGCCTTTTCCACTATTCCAATCAGTTGTGCAACAATTTGGCGCCGGAGCTGTGGATGACATGCAGCCCAGTGAGATAGTTCCATGTAGAGTATGCATCCAACCTCTTGCAGAGGAAAGGGACAGGCTGCCGACAGTCCCGGCAGAACCAGACCGGAAATCAAGTTTGACAAATAACCTTCAGGGTCATGCGGAGAAAGACGCTTGGCCACAGTAGTCATCATGAACAAACAGGCTTCGGCTTCGTGAAGAACTTCCAATGCAGTCACTTGGGCGTTACTGGAAACTGCAAGCATTTGCAGCTGTTGAACATGATTGTATAACTAAGGAAAGCAATCAAGAAAAGAGGAATACATCGACGAGTAGGTTAATGGTAATATGTATGTCCGAAATATCCGTAAGGTCCACATAAATGTGTTCATAGTCTTGCACACGACATTGAGCCCACGTGACAAAAGATACAAATACGGACTGACAGGGTTGATAAGTCTATCCACGAATTAGGGACAAATGCTTCAATATTTTGTAACCCAACATGGATACATGCGTTGCGTATACTTACTAATTAGGATATCAGTCATGAGAAAGAAACGGAAGTCGACATCTCGAATATCGTACCGAGACATGAGGCGGGTTGTGTGCAGCACACTCAGTTGAAGAACATCACAAACGACAGATTCACTTGAGTCTCCTGTGACAACCAAATTGGTTTGCAAATGAGTGAGTGTATGGAAATGACAAGTACACCTATCCACCTCTATCAAGACCTCAAAAGGGCCGAAAATTCGGTCATACTACGGGGGTGGGAATGGGAAGCAGCCAGACACAGTCAAAGATGAGGGAGTCTTTATCGGGAAAGTCGGTAGACAGCCGGAAAGTTACATGATATTACGGACAACGGAGAGAGCAGGGTAAAATATCCGGAGTTCAGGGAATGCTGGCTAGAGGGAGGTAACAGCGAGAGGAACAATGTTTGTGATGTTTGGAGGAACAGACATACTGCGAGATGTCATAAACGTAACCCGAAAGAGGGTGAATTCTGAAGTTACCCCACAAAAGGTGTTGTTGGATCGAGGAGCGAACGAGGTGGACGCAGTTTACGTGACAAACGGGCGACAGTGTTGCCATTGTATGGGATGAAACACTACTAGTTAATCATTGCCAAATAAGGCAGCTTTTCGGGTGATCCAGTCGACTTGTGGTAAGATAAAACATAATGATTATTCCGAAACAATGAAAAACCAGCTGGTACTTCTCAGTAAATAATGCCTTGAGCCCACTTCAAGTCCATTGTCAGAGTCGCTTGCTTCTGATTAGCATGGACGTTGGAAATCTGCGTCAAGACTTGTCACCGGACGAACTCGCATTCCTATGTACGAACTAAGCCTTTGCGTCTGTTTACAGATGCATCTTCACGCACCATCTGTCTTGGAACGCGAGTGACATCATGACATCCAGTAAGAGACGAAGCGTGTGCGGATAATCGTTTTCATACGGACAGAAACAGGACCTACCTCAACGAAGATCGTTTCCGCTCCGACAAGCCCAAGGATGTCCTGCATCAAATCGTGGACATCGTCACGGAAGTCACGCAGTTCATCCGTGCTCTCCAAATCAGCCGTATTGTTTGGACAGAAACGTGTTAGTGCGACAACCACACGAGTGAAATACGGTACCAAAGCAGCGATTGGTCGAAGCCCACCAGAGTTCGCCGAATTGTTCCCCGCGGAACTGTCCATACTAGACTGTGCAGAACTGGCAGCCAGTGAACGATGCTTGAATTAAAAGGAAGTTGTGGGGTGAAAACGGAATATGCAGCAGACGGTTGATGGAAGGTAGTAGACTTTCGGAATAGGGTACTACACAAGTGTATCGAAACCGAATTGCAAAGCTTCACGTTGATCTGCCCTACTGTTGTCAATTGTACGAATTCCCGTAGGGACATCTGCGGCCCGTAGAATGCGCGACATGGAAAGAGTATTTTTATGGCATGACTGCTGATGACCGCAAGGTCACGGTTAGAAGCCAAAAAATACAAACTGAACAGAAACTGCGTTAAAAATCATAAGCAGAACAATGTGTGGAACTCTGACCAAGAATATGCGAGTGATGCAGGTAAGCAACGGAGGAAAGAAAAAGGCAGAGGGAAGGCCCAAATGTATGAGCTACAGACACGAACCGCCTGAAAACTGAGATACAAATGATACACTGGGACACATTGTTTTCACTTAGAGTGCCAAGGAAGTGGAAATCAGAAACTTCAACAGACCGACAGCGTGTGATGGCATTGGTATTGCAGACTACCTGTTAGAAATACTTACCTAGAAGAGAACTAAGAACAATTATCCTTCAGTATTGGCTGAGCGAAGATCAGCTGAAGACCCAACCAGGAAGCTGGCGGTCTTTGTTTCACAAGGTCGAAAAATTCATGAACACGATATCCCTACTTGCCCTTGTACAAAAATTATCGGGAATAAACCAGGATAAACTCATAATGACAGCCCATGGATTATTCCGACAGACACGGAATTAATTTATCCTAAGAAAACTTATTCCAGCATGGAAGTGGCCGACCATACGCAGCAAATGAATTGAAAAAGAAAGCAGTGATACGTTGAAGCAACACGAACACGTGAGCAATCCTTCGCCACTTCAAAAAAGCATGGTCCCTGCCAGATGACTCATATAACACAATTCCAAAACTGCGTAATATTTCGCAACCTTAGCAAATCGGCGCAGAGAAATAGGGTAGGCTTTATACACTCATTGAGTCCTGAAGAGACCAGAAGAAAATGGTTGAGTGCAAGACTACTTATGTAGATGACGTGCATTACGAGAAAGGTTGTAACTGTTCGTTGAAGATGGACCTTTACTGTCGCGGCCTGAATGACATCTCAGCTGTAGCACCTTCCAGTTCCTAGCTGCCATGCCACCCGAAGGTTGCACGAGGGCTGGTTGTCCAGGTTGTCCAAGCCTAGACAGGGGAAGTCGAGAGGCAGAGGTCCGATTCGAACCACGGACCTTCCGGTCAGTAAATTCGAGCTCTAACTGACGCTAAACACATTTGGGACATGAGCCCTAAAAGAACGAGTACAAGCACGTATGGAAGGGCGCTGGATCAGCTACAGTGAATCCAGTTTACGGAGGATTATCGTCCCACTTATTAGTCCGATAGTTCGACTAGTGAAACAAGGATACCAAAGTGAGGGTTACTTACGCGAATTGCGTCATCAGCCAATGAATGAAGGGCGTGAAACGTGATTGCTGACAACTCTCGGCTACCTAATGGAGGTACGAGTTCAAGGACTCCAAGAAGGCAGTCCAAGGTCCGCAGATCTCCTGGGGCACCAGAACCAGCGGATGAAGGTTGACGGACTAAGGCGGGGCGGAGAGTTCGGGCAAGGGAAGCGAAAATATGAGCCAGACAGGTGCAACGGTCTTTGTACAAATCCAGCTGTTCCTGTTGTAGAGTTTGGTTGGAAGCGGACGCAACAGCAGTGGCACAATCTTGAAGGACTTTGAGTAAATCGTATATGTTTCTTTGCAACCAGGTCAAAAGGCCACCTGACGTACCATTGAAACTCTGGAATATTACAGACAGTTTTAGCTGACAGTTGGTATTAAACGAAATGCTAAACTGCGACACAGAACGACGTGAAGAGTTCAAAAACATTCAACGGCAAGGGAAAACTCACTCTGCACTGATAAAGCAGTGCTAGAACCCACTGCGTAGCTGCATCATAAGCCTGTTCTGGGGTAGAAGCCGGATTTCGAAGTATACAGAAGACCGTCTCCAAAAGTGGAGAAACAGGAGCATCCTGCTCGGTCATAACTCCGGTGTTGTCCCACCAACTGGCTAAGCAGTTGAAAATCCGCGTTAGCATTGGCATTTCAGGTGTCTTTGCTCTGAGTGACTAAGTAAGAATATGGCAACAAGAATGGAGTGATTAAACTGCGACATACGAAAAACGAGTTATGATTTTGGATTCACTGTTCAGACCATATTTGTAAAGTTGGCCGATGGACGACCGCAGACGACCGCAGTGGTAAAACACGGGTTCAACTAAAAATCAGGTTACTCACAAAGTACAAAGAACCCAGAGCGAGCGTGAAAGTGAATGTTAGTGATTTCGGACAATTGACTTCAGCAAACAATATTTAGCTTCACAACGTCAGCCCTGGTTCCTGGATGCAACAGTAAGTTGTGATATAAAAACATTGCACATGGCGTTTGACAGGACATTTGATCTATCAGTTATTCAAGCCTAAGGGCTTACATGATTAGTCTATTGGGAATACGTGCCTTGCCACGGTAGTGGGTATACCAGACACCCCATCTAATTGTGTGATCTACAAACCTGAGATACCGTAGGCTTGGTGCCAGCTATATCAAGCAGCTTTCTTGAGTGCGTCAACGTTATCTTTCGGATACATAGCTGCCATGAAACCATTGGAGGGAATGAGTTTTGGAGTGCCGCTGAATTACGTACAGGATTCGAAACTGAAACCTCTCTCGGTATAAGTTTGCATAGAAAAGTTGATCAACATGAAAATTCACAACAGTCGAAAGTCCAAAAAGAAGCTTGAGTACATGTGTGGTGAAAAACCGAAACGCCTGAAAGTTGTAAAACTTACAGGCTCATAAACACACTATATTTTCTATCAACATAATCGTCAGTATCAGCTAGCAGACGTGTACAGGTCGTGCAATAGTTCCAGTCGCCAAAGTTGTGCCTAATAATGAGCAACGAATTCAGAAATGAAAAACGTGGTTGAATGCCATAGATTTCTGTCTAGAATAGTTACCGGAGGCACGGGCAAGTCACTGAAATGTGAATTTGATACTTACGGTTTTTATTATGGACGCTATGCTTCATGATTCCTATTTGTAAGGAAGGACATATTAGCTGCACAAAAATTCCGGTGTCAGTGGCATACTTCGTTACCATCGGACAGGTGCCTCAGTGACGTAATATCACCAGTCCTCAGCAACTAACCTATGTAATGACACATGGATAACAAGCAAAACAAAAAAGATGAACTTGGCACTGAATCGTCAAAATGACCTGGCTCCTTATTATACAAAGTGAAATTACTGGGAAAGGCGCACATTCGTGCCAGGAGACCCATGGTCAAGCTGCAAGATAATCGTTATCAGCCGTAACAACCACGTACCTGTCGTGCAGTGGTTGTAGCTGCCAGAATTTCGTCTATCGATGATTCGGGGAGGTAGATGTACATTGGAGACGGCGGCTGATAAATTTGCACGTACAAACACAGTACGTCAGTGTACTTTTAAGTGAAGGGATTGGGAAAGGAGCTATGCACTGAAGGCAAGAGCTTGGATGCAATAGCGCCATTGATGGCGCGACTGGGCCATGTCTGACAATGTATCTAACTTGATGTGGCCAGTCTCGGGGTCCCCATCCAGGAAGGTGGCAATGACCAGCGCAGCTAAGTTTGCTGGCACTGGCTTTTTTACCACGCTGCCAAGTCACTGTTTGATCGCCTCTGGCTCTCTTCCAACGTTCAAGTGGTTTTGCAGAAAACCCTTCGAGGAAGTCGGTCGACTGGCATACGCAGCACGTGGCCAAGCCAGCGCAACCTATGCAGCGTGATCAGTTCATCTATCGAGAGTGAGTTATTTCTCCCGAATACCATTCGACGTACTCCAGCATCGCTTAGCCGGTCTTCTTACCAGACTCGGCGATCAGCGGCCATGTCTCTGATCCGTAAAGTAATATGAAGGGCAGTGCAGCATTGTAAACTCGACTCTTGACAGAGAAGCTGTCACACCTACGCCACAAGTGACGCAGGTTCACAAAAGCTGTTCCGGCTTTCCCGATCCGGATGGAAATATCATTTTTTCGCGAAACCACCGGGACTGATACAGTTGCCCAGGTGAACAAATTTGTCTACTACTTCAAGCGGCTCATCCGCAAGCATGAGACTAGGGTCCGAGCCAACTCAGTCTTGCAGTAGCACTTTACATTTTGCAAGCGTGAAGCGAATGCCAAACCATGAGGTAGATTTATTTAGATTATTTAATATTGATTGCATTACGACGGGGTCAGATCCAAGAAGAGCTGTCATCTGCGTACTCGATATCTGTGAGCGGACGCCCCAGGAGGACTTAAACCCCACAGGCTTTAGAGGCTAGTAGGAGTGTTCCATGATCGTATCAATGACAAAGTTGAAGAGGGATAGTAAAAGAGGACAGCCCTGTCTGATACCACTTGATGTAGCGAAATCAGGAGAGCTTACAGTAGACATTCACATGTCCGCGGGAGTTGGCTTACAGCGCCTTAAGGAAGGTCAAGAATTTATGGGGGACACCTCTGCTCCACATATATTGCCATAATGCCTGACATTCCATGGATTCAAAGGCGGTCTTCATGTCAAAGAACACAACCACTGCTGGAAGCAGCGTCGCTGTTCCATGGTCTGTTTGTGGGTGAAGATGTGATCGAAGTCCAGCTTGGTTTTCGCTGATCCGCCTCTCCTTGTGTTCAGCCAACCGTCGAACGATAGGGCCAGAGAGGACCTTCGACGCCACAGCTACAAGACTGATGCCACGGTGGTTTTCACACAGCGACCGCATAACTTTTTGAAGATATGGATGACTACCGACATGCCTCATTCCGCAGGCACTTTCTATTCGTCCCAAATAGCACCAATAAGCTTTTTCAGATGGATAACCAGGGATTCTCTGCCTTCTTTGAATGGAGCCGGATACAGACCGTAGTCATTGTGTCTTCTCACGTTTCAGTACGGATAAGTCGTACTTCATTGCTTCTTGCAACGGGCGATTAAGGTTTACATTCTATTCGCGCCGTACGCGCTGTCTCCATAAGCTGGGTTACGGCAGGCCAACTAAACTACCTTTCGAAGTGCTCGGCCCATCTTTCTAGTCGACACTTTTGCGAGTGAACTAACGAGCCACCATTTTCACATATCATATAACAGACTGCTGCTCACTAAGGGCCAGCCGATCATATTAATTGGCATAGGGCACGACTGTTTCCGGTAACAAACCCTTTTACATCTCCAGAGCTTTCAAAGTCCACCAGAGCATCCGGTCTTTCCTTAGGCTCATCACTGACGTTTGAGAGATCTGTGGGCGCCGCCGTACTCGTTGCCCACTGGTATTGATTTCCTGGCGTCAATCATGGATGGTGATTTTGGCAACATCCGAACTGCAGTCCGTTGAGGCATAAGCCGTCAGTACAAACAGGCACCGCTCTTTATGCCGAGGCATTGAGCCTGATTCAGCCGGGTAACCGGGATCCAATCCGGTAAAGCGCGTTCAGCTCTGAAGCTGAGTACAACTCTCACACCATATATTCCATATGCCATCGCTTACACGGAGGGAGATCGTCTTTGGTGTTCTGAGAGGCATAACCACACTTGGATCTCGTATGTGTTTCGGAAGCACAGCATACATAAATTTTAAGGGAGTATAAGTTTTCAGAGAGCATTGCCTGTTTGGCAATTTGGCAAAGAGTGCGGACGTTGAAAGCTCCTATATAGAAAGGATCTCGTGGACTTAGAAAGTCGTTATTTTGTTTATCGTTAATAGGCGGCGGGGAGAATAGGGCCATTCGGTCAGATAATTGACAATCGAATTACCCAGCAACGTTTGCTTGTGGTAGGAAGAGGTTGGAAAGGGACTTCGGTGTACACAGAACTGTGCGGCAAATGATACTTCTCGGTTGCCCAGGCCGGGGAAGAGGGTTTGGTTGCGGTACTCCATCTTGAGCCTTTGAATCAAAAGTCTGACCCACAGGGCACCTGATAGTAAGGTTTTCTTTGGGGGACCCTATCTGGAGGCGAAGACCCAATAGTCTAACTTGCCCGGCTGCAGGGGGTTGGCAGGGAATAAAGCATTAATGTTTCACTCCAGATGCGGCTACGCATAGCAGGTGTCTTTTAAGCAGCATCGGGCTATTTCGTTTTAAGTATTTCGACCGTAGTGAATAGTGTGCCGGTGGCCACGGTCAACCGTTGCGCGATTGGAGTGTGCAGTTTTGGGACCGACCTTTGCTAACCCATCCTTCCTCGGGGGAGAGCAGCATCACTTCTTCCATGAATATGAACACGCTAGTCGCCTGGGGGAATATCTTGCTGACAATCGACCCAGCAACGTTTGCTTGTGGTAGGAAGAGGTTGGAAAGGGACTTCGGTGTACACAGAACTGTGCGGCAAATGATACTTCTCGGTTGCCCAGGCCGGGGAAGAGGGTTTGGTTGCGGTACTCCATCTTGAGCCTTTGAATCAAAAGTCTGACCCACAGGGCACCTGATAGTAAGGTTTTCTTTGGGGGACCCTATCTGGAGGCGAAGACCCAATAGTCTAACTTGCCCGGCTGCAGGGGGTTGGCAGGGAATAAAGCATTAATGTTTCACTCCAGATGCGGCTACGCATAGCAGGTGTCTTTTAAGCAGCATCGGGCTATTTCGTTTTAAGTATTTCGACCGTAGTGAATAGTGTGCCGGTGGCCACGGTCAACCGTTGCGCGATTGGAGTGTGCAGTTTTGGGACCGACCTTTGCTAACCCATCCTTCCTCGGGGGAGAGCAGCATCACTTCTTCCATGAATATGAACACGCTAGTCGCCTGGGGGAATATCTTGCTGCCTTCGCTCGCCTATTGCAGAGGACAGTACGGCTTTACCCCAGACCGCCTCGTAGCACGATTACTCGTACTGCGGGGTCTCGCTGCTCTAGGTCTAAATGCTCCCCTTTGGCCTTCCCGGTATGATTGCACCTTGTGGAACGAGGTCCCAGCCAGTGGAGCCGACGGGATCATTGCAGCACACAAGCCAGACCACTAGACCAACGTGGCAGCCTTAGGTGAAGTCCTGTCAAGCAGCCATGGGCGGTCATTCATCAGAGCTGCTACCATAGGTATGTAGCCCTCGCACTTCACACCTTATCGAAAAAGTATTTAAAAATGGTTCAGCCGTAGCACCCGTTCGGATCCTAACTCCCATGGCACCCGAAAGAAGCACGAGGGCTGAGATACTGCGAGGTTGCCCGAGCCTAGAAAGGGGAAGTCGAGATCAGAGGTCGGGTTCGAACCACGGACCTTTCGGCTATTAAATTAGCGCTCTAACCAACCGAGCCTTTTTTCGATAATTTATTGAATAAGTAGACCAATTTACTGTCGATGAACTTTAATGCCTCCAAGGGAGGCTGTCATGCTTTTATCCTTCTTATTCGGGACTAGAAAAATTGTAGCAGCCAAAACCACTGTGCAGCAGTACGAAGCCCAAAATCATCCACCGCACTGGAAAGCATAAACATTCCGTACGTTACCGAGTGCAGGCTGAGCACAAACAATGAATTTATCCAAAACATGAGTTCTTCAGCGAAAACCGTTACGTGCAACGCCGTTCTGATTTTGTCAACAGGATTGTTAGACTTGAAGCAGACCCGTTTCATACGCTCAAAAAGCCAGTGTTTGTACTATGTTCGCGGGCTTCAACTTTTACGGTATATGTACTTAATACACGGGGACGAAAACAGACAAAGCGATATCCTCAATTTGAAGTAAGGTTGGCGTAAGGAGAACTACATTAAGACTGAAATTGGAAGGCGAAAACCTCATGTTAAGGCCATGGACTTAAACTCCAACAGTTGTGACCCACAAGCTTCATTCCGTATCGGTTCAAAAGCCACACCCTCCGGTGTCGACAAGCACAGTCTACAATAATTCGGCGTCTTCAACTATTGGCGTTGTCGGCGTTCAATGTTTTTTTTTGCTTCAGAACCCCTCTTTTTGATGGCATGAAGTTCGTGTAGAAGTCCTTGAAATTCTCTCTAGATGTGTCGTTTAAGTGGAGATGATAGAAACAGCCCTACCTACAAATCGGACCGGGTTGGAAGAACTACTACTACTCTCCAAAACACCACTTGGCGAACAATACAGTAGTGCCAAAACTCGCTTACCAAAAGCTCGATAACTTGTCGTTTGTTCGTTTCAAGCTGAGCCATAAGGGAATGTCGACGATTAGAACCCAATCTTAGCGTACTGCTCGTCATCTGACAATGGTGAGAAGAATGAACGAAGACACCCACCTCCTCTGGAATAAACTTCAGTATATCTATTAAATACCCCGATGAAGCATCACATCCAGAAAGCCTCAAAGAAAGGAGTCAGTAAGAAACAAGGCGAACTTTTCGATAATGTCCTTGATGCCATTTTGCCACTGTACCATGTGGCAAAACAAATCAGCGACGGCCAGACAAAGCTGGTTAGCTATTGGCACACTTGTCTCAGCATTGAGCTTTTTCACGTGTTCTAGTAGCGAATTTTTCAAACCCTGCGAATGTGACACGACACTACCACACGTACCTCGTGAGAGCTTGTAGGTAGCTCTGTGAAGTAACACTGTATCTGCGAGACACGGAATCAACCATACAAAGACTTTCTCACTTTAATCCTTATGGTTTGTGCGCCGAAATAGCAAGAATTCAAATCGCGGTTCATATACAATAGTTGATCTGAAATCTCCCATGCGTACAACTGAGGAAAGCTGCAAAGAGGTATGAGCAACGTACTGATTTCTGAAACTCGCTCAGCCATTTTGATGCCTGCTCTTTGAAAGAAGTGTCGGGATTCAAATAAAGAGCATCAATCGCCCGTAAAACCGTCTCGACATTCACAGAACCATCGCCACTCATCGCGTGTTAGAACGCTATCAGTAGCGACCGCAAACTGACAAGTAAGGAGACAGTGGACACCGAGTCCTCTGATTGGTTTATTGGTCTCGCACAAGTGCTCAGTAGGTTCCATGCGTTCAGTTCGCGCACACACAATCAGGTAACCGGAGGCCGTAAACGCGCAAAGCGTTCGATGCTGTCCACATTTTACAGGTGAGTATGCCCAACACCATCAAAGCTGGTATTTGTAAAATATGAAAGCAATCGACCTGAATGTATCAAGTTGCTATCGCCAGCTCGTCTGGATGTGTGAATACGCTTAGATATGGATAAGTCTGAAGATGACTGTTCAGTGAAGTCTGGCAACTGGATTGCTGGAGTGTGTATGGCTACCTCGGAAGGAAAAATGGAGAGCAAATGGTGGTTGGTATGATGTTCATGGTTAAAGAATACGGATGAAGTCACGGATTGATTCACAGGATCGAGGCTTTCGCTCAAGTTTCCCAGGACGGTTTTATCCATATCGTTCAGCAGCTGCCGTTCACCTGAAATGCACAAGCAAAAATGGTGTGGCACCGCTCTTTAATTTCTCAGCGTGGGGCGTTTATCTCAACAAATGACGGGCTAAGAACTGGTATGCAAGGGATATCTGAGTCAGCAAGCGCAAGAGCAAGAGTATCCCTGCCATAGCAAGCGTACAAAGAAAGATCACCAGGTATCGCTAAAACAGTACAAAAAAGGTGCTTTTATTATAAGTACGACGACAAACATAATGAATCCCTAATTTACTGTGGATTAGGCGATTTCCCCACCCACTGCGTACGTCGTCCAGGAGTGTTATAGTGGTTCATGCGGGGTTAAAAGAGGAAGACTTTCTTACGGGAGGCTGGAAAACGTGCCACTAATATAATAAGTAGACATACAGATAGACGTAAATGCCTCATATCACGCGGCGGACACCCTGATTGGGTCACAACAGAGCTTTGAACCGCCAGTATCAGCTTTATGGTAGAGTTACTCTGATTGACCGTCACTTGATTTGCCCCCAGCTATTCACTATTCAGCGTTGCACTGGATAAAATGATCCGTCTCATTATATATCGCCTTTAGATTTTTCCAAGAAACACCAAAACAAGGGAGCTGATTCAGAATTTAGGGTGGTAAGTGGCTGTGTCTACACCTTGTGCGTGGGGTGTGTCTGGGCCATACGGACTAAGTAGTAAGTTTACTAGAAGTGCTCCGTTCTTGTGCACCACGAAGTGCACTGGCTAACTGAGAGTGCACCGAAAACCGTCAAAAACCGGCAAAACCGGAAGGATCTCTTCTAGAGGAGCGACCGGACCAACTTCATGAACCTCAAAATTCCTACTGATTCATTGCAGTTAGGGCTTATTACTCACGAATCGGTGCCAGTGATGCACCAGGCTTTCTTAAAAGATGGAAAGCAGAAGCTTTCCACCGCACCCTGACCACAGCCTTGAGAGACTGATCTACAGGATACCAGCGGGAGACCCCAAGATTCTATGCACTGGAAGATGTGAGGGCACATTCCACTTATTTAGCTTGAATGCGCACGAGTGGGTAGCCAAAAACCGCTAAACTATATGGAAACATATTTTCCATTATTCGTGGTTTATTTTTATCTGGGGGGGGGGGGCAGCGGGTCAGCGCACCCTGAAGCTTTTTCGAATTCCTTTTTTTTCATGTAAGGCCATTATTCGTGGTTTATTTTTATCTGGGGGGGGGGGCAGCGGTCAGCGCATCCTGAAGCTTCTTCGAATTCCTTTTGTTTCATGTAAGGCTTGGTTTTAACTCGCTCGGTCTGTTCAGCCTTCGGCTGGAAAACAAAATACTCAGCCACCGGTACACGTTGAGAGACGTGCGGCTGGTGGTTGATCGAAATTTTGGAGGTTAGTACACACAGACCACCTCGGTAACCTGCATGTATTGTTCGTGCACAATCATTAGCTCCGGAGGGGCTGAGGCTCACCAGGAGTGTTCTAACAGACCTGTGATGAGATTATGGCATACAGCATACTGTTGACGGTGGCTGCAGGGTAGGCTGCAGCTGGAGCTGCAGGGGATAACCTTAATAACTTGATACCTTTGACCAGACTGTTAATCATTCGTGAATACGCGGAATAGTCACTCCTACATGAACATGGTTCCTTGAGTTATAAGGCGCTTGCGAATACGCAACAAAGGTTCCCCGTAGAAAAACCCATCTGATGTTCAGCCTTCCGTCCATACCAATCCAAATAGGTTGACACACTGCGACACTAGTTGGCCTCACTTGGTGGGGCTAGTGGATTCAAAAAACCTCAGTTCTGTTCAATGCTCCTGACTGACGGTCGCGCTGGTTATTTCTGTTTAGAAGATCAAAGCAAGAGATTACACCGTTTCCAACAATTGTAATCGCGGAAATGCTTGGACTGCCGATATACAGACTGGAAAGCCCGAAAATATGGCAAGACTGATAGTCCTCATCGGCTCCGCCGCATTTTTTGTATAACGTCAGTTATTGCGTAATTTGGACAGCACCATATTTAAGGAGGAAATAGTTCAGGAGAAAGGTCTCCAGTCGCTAAAGCACTGCTATCAGCTTCGATCAACGAGTGGTGCATAGCGGAAAAGCATTTAGTCGCTGGCCTTACGCGCCAAGAGTGGAATATTAGAATTCTTATTATACATAAATTTTTTGCTTTTCATTACGTGTCCACTTCCGGGAGATGAATGGCGGAGCGTGCGTGTTATGCTCGGTCGACGAAGTGAGCGCTATCGCGGTGCACCCCACACTAAGACGAAGGCGGCTACATCTCTGCACATCGACGTAAGTGGTGGTCGTCGTAGAGTGTATTCAAGTTATTTCGTGTCTTTTTGTTTAAAGGAAGATTTTTAACGGATGAAAATCAGTATTTTACCAACTTTAGATTATAACTTTTTCCAGATAAATGACAATCAGGACAAACCCAACCCAACAGCAACAAGCAGAAAAAAGGGTACTCTTTTATGTAGTCTTGAACAGAACGCCAGGTACAAAGCCGCCAGCGGTTAGCGAAACACCTGCGCCACCGGAGGGTTTGCGTATATACAAATGCCCCATGATGCATGGCGACCCCTCTTACATGACGTACCCAAATGCTCTACGTGGTTTCCATCCCATGTACATGCTACCGAGTAATCATAATTGCGGCTTGTGCACTAACAAAGAAATCCAGTAACCAGATATTTTATTCGGTCGGGGGAAAGCAGACCCGTTAAACAGCTATCAGTACAGTGAAGGAGAGGCTTTTTTTTTGATTATTTTTTTCTATCCCCTCTTACATGACGTACCCAAATGCTCTACGTGGTTTCCATCCCATGTACATGCTACCGAGTAATCATAATTGCGGCTTGTGCACTAACAAAGAAATCCAGTAACCAGATATTTTATTCGGTCGGGGGAAAGCCAGGCCGGTGAAAAAGCTCAGTCAGTTGAAACAAGCCACCAGAAAACAACAGGAACATAACAGCGATGTGTGGAGCGTGCGCGCCATGGCTAAACGATGACGGCACGTAGGTGTGATCTACCAGACAAATATAGACGCACCACAATGTCACGTGTGCCCACTGTACTGTGTAGCCATACAAGAGCTTCGTCCATTTGCACCACCAAAAAGGTGTTTCGGGCCAATACTACTGTCTTAGATATGAGAAACTGAATTTTCGTTTGGTCCATGTTGGTTAGGGCTGGGCAAAACGAGGAACTAGTCATTAAACAGATCCAGTATAGTAATCCAGAGTAGGGACTTAGCCAGAAGAAACATGGTATAATTTACCTGGGGAAAAAACCAAGTCCGTAGTACAATACACAGGGATCAGGTGAAAATTGCAGGTAACCGTTGGTTCCAATAATTTAAGAAGCAGCAAGGTGTAATGGGAGTGGTTTTATTATATTTTTTTGCCCACTTACTGTATTGTCGTCAAACCCAGAGGTGCTTTGAACACAACTGCCGCTCTAAAAGCGGAAATTTCAGGATGACTAATTTCTTTCACATGTCATCCATCTCATGGCCAAAGGCCATCACTGAATATTTTCGCTTTTTCATTCAAAACACTTTGGCGCGAGTAATGGGCCTACAGCATACTTCTGATCGCACACTTTTGTGGGTTTAACAACCCTGGGGGTTCGCTGCAACTTCTGTTTGTTTTGTTCGTAAATTCAACGACTTTATTCAGTGCTTGTTCGGCCTTGGACATCGGCACTACATCTCCCTCCAAGTAACTTCTACATGACAGCGTTTCCAATGGGCTTATCAAACTTCAGTGTACATTATATTTCTGGGACGCAGCTTGCTATTTTTTATATTGCATCGCCGCCTATGGGCATTTCAACCCCGGACCACTGACTCGTTTGTGGGATATTACGCGGTAAGAAAAGCTTTTAGTTTCAAATCACACATTCCGGCCTCATCACCGAAGTAGCCGTACCCCCTGCCTCACTGTCTTAGCCTTTTGGCTTCGGCAAGTTACAGTTACCTATCTGGTGATAAGCATTTACCCTGAGGTTTGTCTTCCCCTCCGTCGTGCTGTTGGCCACGTTCAAATGGCAGTGACTGAATTATGCCTTGATTAATATGCTCCCTAAAATAACAATAATAATAATAATAGCATACCGTCAGGCATGATCATAGCATTACAGTCAGAATAAGAGCATGGCTAACGGGGGTTTTGATTAATGGGAATTTCCTGGAATAGGGACTGTGACGTTAAAAGGGGCATTACCGAAGTTGGGAAAATCCGTTATTGCCGCTATCCGGCATAGAGCGACCTCTTCCTCAAATCCAACAAGCCGGTAATCGATGTATATGGATTGTTGCCCTCACCCATGAATATTTGCCTTCGTGAACCGGTTTATTCAGGCATACGTGTCCGTTCCCTATACTTGGACTGCGTCTTCGTTCCAGTGGTGTGCCGTCTTAGGAAGGGAATAACATACAGCCTTAAGACTTGTTCCTTCTAAAGGGCGATGCGCGCCACCT